GGCAAATGATGGTAATAAAAGAAATAATAATAATAATAAAGGAAGGGACGTATATATAATAGATAAATGATTGACATAAAGGTTGAGAGCTATTTCTCCTTGAACTTCATTTTTTCCCTTATTTGTGCTATTGATTTGATTCGATAATGATGAAATACAGATAGTGGAATAATATTAGGTAATAATGCTTTGTATTCAACTATTCGACTATATTATATAGACCTTAAAGGCACTATGAACTTGCTAAATTTTTATATTTTGCTAAAAAAAAAATGAGCACTAACTTATGCCCCGTTCACTTCGCTGATTCGAGTTTAGAATTCGAGTTTTTTTACAGTAAAAAGCTCTCACAAATAATCACATCTAACTTTTTTGTTACAGTAAAAAGCTCTCACATAAAGTCACATCTCAACTCGAATTCTAAACTCGAATCAACGAAGTGAACGGGGCCTAACTAAGCATACTTTGTCGCAGTTTTAATACAAAAAGAGGTTGGGCACTATTCTATTAGAGTGGCAGCACCTTCCAATTAAAAAATAAACAAACAAACAAAAGTTCCTGATAAGAGAACCTCTTATTTCTCCTAATGCCTGTAAATAATATATAATTAAATTTAAAGTTTCCTTTACCTTCCAAGTAATTTAAGATGCTTCTAAAGAGGGCAACCTAAAAAAAATAAAAATAAAAAAGTGGGGGGAAAAAAGGGGAGGAAACCCAAACACAGCCCCAACAAAAAAAATATATAAACGATATTATTAGATAAAACAAAAAAGCTGTACATCATAAGATTATAATTTATATGAGTAGAGCAAAGACATTTTCCACTGAACAACATATTTTACTCAAAACACAATAATTGCATCCTTTGACGTTTCTTTCTAAATTTTTCTCCTCTTTATCTTTTCTTTCTTTCTTTTTTTCTTTTTTTTATCCTCCTGAAAACCCTCTTCAACACCCACACGCAAACTCCTTTGACCCTCAAAAGAAAAGAGAACCAAAAGGGAAAAGATCACAGCCGCAATTTGGCTTACGAAAGCCAACTTTTCCTTTCCATAATCTCATACACAAGTGGGGGTTGAGAGAGCATTTGCTTGTGGGAATCTCATCCTCTTTTTTTAATATTATTATCAATTTATTCTCTCTCTCTCTCTCTCTCTCTTTTTTCTCTTTAAGTTTTTTCCTTCAAATTTCAGTATAATATGCTTTAAAAAAAATTAAATAATTTGTGGAAAAAAGAGTTTCCCTTCTTCCTACGGAATCAAGCAATTGTCAATGTTTGAGGCTCCAGTTTAACTAAATCTCAACCGTCCCACGTTACCCCCACTCCATTATTAGCATCCCAAACTACCCTCCTGTTTCACCCCTACTACAATCATGTCATCTCTCCTTCAACAAATTTTTTTTTTTTTTTTTTATTGCAAGAAGATACTATTTTCTCGTAAAAATATTAGGTCTCATTCAGTTTGCCGATTTAAATTTTTAATTCGAGTTAAGATGTGATTTTATATGAGAGTTTTTAACTGTAATAAAAAAATTTAAATGTGACTTTTTATAATAACTTTTTATTGTAACAAAATTGAAATTGAAAACTCAAATTGGTAAAATGAACGATGTCTTAATCAATTTTTTTAATTATCATTACTAGCTAGTTGACTGATGGATTAGTGAAGCAAATTTTCAGGCTTTAAAAATAATCTAAATAATGTATTTGACTTTATTCGGATTTGCATATAAACATGACTAACAAAGTTAAATTTTGCTTCGTAGTTAAAATTCTTGAAAGGACAGTTTTTTTTTTTTCTTGGACACATTTTTTCTAGTCCACACGAAAAAAATATATGAATACCTTAAGTTAGGGAATATATCATATTCGGGTTGTTGTAATTAAAATATTCGTCTCCTCATCACCAATCACCATCCTATTAATTAATCAAAACTATTTTTGTTGCATTAAATAAGTATTATTTGTGAGTGGACTATATAAAGAGAATCAAAAGGGTTATTAATGTTAATAGGATAGATCATGAAGGACAATTGCGTCTTTGAGTGAGGTGAGATTCTTTGAACGACGTCTCAAAATTTTGCAATCTGATCCAAAATATTGAGACAAGAAGATTGCGGAGATCTTGAACTGGGCCATGACTTGAAGGTGGCATTTTTGTCAGTTAGCCTAAATCCGTCTGGGGTACCCGTCGTTTTGGGAGCAAGTAGGCCCCTAACCTTTATTCCCTTTACCCACCCTCACACGAGACTGCCTTCTTTTTCTCATGAAATGACCAAAGTGCCCCCGTTTTATATCGACCAAATGTGTTCTTTTCTTTCCAACTCTCTCCCTCAAAATCTCAATCTTCCAATCAAATAAGAAGGTAACTTTGTAACCGATAAGGCTAGCCATTAATCACAAGGGTGCGGTTTAAATTGGACGGCACTTAATGAATAAGATGTAACAATGTTGCTTAAGAAAGATATTTAAGTCCGAAATCATAAATTCATGCCGCCAAATTTAAATTGTAAAGGGATTATCGCATGAGATACTTTAAAATACGGCGTTTTTATAAAATAATTTTCCCAAGTAAAAATCAACATAATTAATTACGAGATGTAATGATGTTGTTTGAGAAATATTTTCACAATATTAAAGTCTCAAATGCTTATAATAAGATGCTTCTACAGTAAAATCCCCGTATAAAAATCAACAAAATTAGTTAAAAGAAGCCAAACAAGCCCCTTATTATGCCCTCCCTCTCGAGTCCAAAGATGGAAGAATCTCTCCAACCCCATTTGTCAATTTCAAGGACCCCTCCACATCTCCAACTCTATAAGGTGGGCATCTTCTTCATCGTTTGTGCAAAAACAATCTAATGTTAGTTAAACACGCATCTCAATGCGTGCACCCTATTATGAGTCCAATTTAATATTGGTCCCCCTTTTAAACTAAAACTATTTCTATAAAAAATTTTGGAGAAGGAAAAAAAAAAAAAAACAAACCCTTCTAGAATTTAATTTTCCTTCTTCCGTGTTGTTCTTGGATGTTTTGGATTTTGATACGTTTAATTGGTGTACAAAAGTAACAAAAATTCTCTCCATTTGATTCTTCTCATAATTGATATTTAGACTCGGGTTTTGTCTATTCTCACAAGTAACTCCGGGAGTCAAAATTAATACACGCACGTTTTCTAGGCTCTTCAAAAGTTTAATGCGTTTTGAATATGTTAAACTAACGTACTTTAGTGAGATTTCCTAAAGTCATAATACTCATTACTCTATTCCAAGAAAAAAACAAGTTACTTTAGTTTTGTCTACTGTGGTAATAAAATGCACAAGTAAAGTTAAATGAAATGATTAATTTGATGAAATCTTAAAAGTCAATCCATGACTTTTTTTTCTATGTTTTTTTATGAGTAATTATTGGAGTTAAACTCTCGTAAGAAAGTATTATATAATTTAAATGTTGATTTAGACAATTTAACAATTCTTTTTTTATGGACCATTTGTTCAATTTAATTCAAAAAGAAAATATCTCCTGCTACACTTCTATGTATTCCTTGAGACATTCAAGTTCCTCTTAACACTTTAATATTTGTCATTGTATTAGAAGATCCAACAGAGGGTTTTCACTTTCGTTCTCTATTATTATCCATCAACGTAGCATCAAATGTTATAACAAATACAATTGAATGCATTTCTGAATAATAGAGAGATATGTGAATCCATTATAATCATATATGTGACCGTTTGATTTTAATAAATGACCTAAGCCAATTTATTTAGATCTTAAACACTTAATAGACTCTTTGTTATGAAAAAGTAAAACAAAATAAAAACAACAAATGCATTTTTGATGAACGATTGAATACAAAATAACAAGAAAGAGTGCTTGTAGTGTTTTCTTAGGTTAATAGGTGTTTTTTTTAAAATGCTGATTTTTCATACTTATCAACAGTTAGTTACGTATTAATTATGATTAAAAGTTAAATTAAAATAAAAAATAATACAAATCTAATGATTAAAAAATAAAGAACGCTAATATTCTTAAAAAAGATGGAATAAAGAAAAAATTTTAGGCTAATATTGGAATAAAAAAAAACACATTTTCAAGTGAGAAATTGGTCCATTAATTAAGCCAAACGAAAAGGGCAAAAAAAGAAGAAAAAAAAGTTGACATCTATAGAATCCGTACGTTAACTAGGAAATTAAAGGCGTTGGTGAGCACCCAGCGATATTGTTCCCCTCGCAATAGCACCCAACTATTTTGTTTTCATAAAATGAAAGAAAAAAGAAATTAAAATTTGTGGCAAGAGGGACCAGGGGTATATCTGTACTTTCACTTTCCGTGCCATTAAGCCGCATTGGTGAAATCCAGCTGTCAGCATGACGTAAGGTGACTTAACCCATACGAGGCTGCAACTCAATCAAAAAGGTCCTCAAAGTCGTCATAAAGACCAAAATGCCCCTCCCACCGTACAAAATTCTCCTGTTTAGACCCACGAGTATCACTCAAGTGTAAGGGTATTACAGTAATTGTGCTATGTCCGAAAAAGAATAATTTATTTTGACAAGCAAAGGAGGGGAAAAAGAAAGAAAAGTTCAAAAGGAGCTTTAACAGCTTCGATTATTCCCACACACAAAGGTCGATATACAGTCCATATATCATTACTATATACTAAGCTCAGCTCTTCAAAAATATGATATGATTTTCATTATAAGCATTTTAGTTCAATTAATTTTTAATTTAAAAAAAGGAAAAAAAAAAAACTTTTTAACCTTTTTGTAAGAGAGAGAGAGAGAGAGAGAGAGAGAGGAGAGAAGAAGGCTTCAAACGTTTTTGTTAAAACAGCGTCAAACGAAAAGAGATTGAGTCTCGTTTACGCCAAATGGGTCGTCCTATTTGCCATTTGATTTTTCCTTTTTTTTTTTCCTCTTCCATCTCACTCTCACACACCCATTACTATAAAATAAGTCACACTTTCTCTCTTTCATACCCACACCTTCCCCCCTTTCTTTCTTTAAAATTTGGCCCTTTTTTCCCTTCTTGTTCTTGTTCCCCTCTTGTTCATGTTCACTGCTTTGTCATATTCTTTGTGCTCTTAAATGGACTATAAAAGCTCCCCATAAGCTTGCTTACTTCTATTGTGGCTCAATTGGGTTTCATTTAGTTTATTGATTAGTTTTTCCCGAAAGCCATAATAGTAATAATAATAATAATAAACAACAACAAAACAACTCCTATGGAGAAGCTTAATTTTGTTAAAAATGGTGTGCTTAGATTACCCCCCGGGTTTCGGTTTCACCCAACAGATGAAGAGCTTGTGGTTCAGTACTTGAAGAGAAAGGCTTTCTCTCACCCTTTGCCTGCTTCCATTATTCCTGAAGTTGATGTTTGCAAGTCTGATCCTTGGGATTTACCAGGTTGGTTTTTTCTTTTTCTTTTATTTTTTATTTTTTAGTTTTCTCTCACAATGCCATGTTGCAAAAATAAAAAATAAAAAAATAAAAAAAAAAGATTATATTTTTGTTTCAAGGTACTAAATGAAAGAGGTTGAATTTAGGTGATTTGGAGCAAGAGAGGTACTTCTTTAGCACAAAGGAAGCGAAGTATCCAAATGGGAATAGATCAAACAGGGCAACAGGTACTGGGTATTGGAAAGCAACTGGAATAGACAAGCAAATTGTGAGTTCCAAAGGAAACCAAGTTGTGGGCATGAAAAAGACTCTTGTCTTCTATAGAGGAAAGCCTCCACATGGCTCCAGAACTGACTGGATTATGCATGAATATCGCCTTGTTAACACCTCATCCCAGGTCAGCTCTTTTTTTTTTTTTTTTTGGATTACATTAAAATATAAAAAATTGTAAGGAAAAAAAAAAAAAAAAACCCCATTTCATATTTAGCTCAAAAAAACATTTTTTTTTTTTTTTTTTTGCTTTGTTGGAGTGCTGATGCAATAATTTTCGGGGTTGCAGAGCCCTGTGGAAATTCCAATGGAAAACTGGGTCCTCTGCCGGATATTTTTGAAGAAAAGAGCAAGTAAAAATGAGGAAGAAAACTGTGGTGGTGAACTTGTTGCTCGGAAAGCAACAAGAGTGATGAGAAGTAATAACGCCACCACCAGTACCACTAGCAATAGGCCTGTTTTCTATGACTTCATGAGAAAGGAAAATACAGAAAGAGAAAGGGAAAGAGCAGACTTGAATCTTGCTTTGAGTTCATCATCTTCTGGTTCAAGTGGAATCACTGAAGTATCTTCTAATAATAATCAAGAAGAAGAATCATCGGATGATCATCAAGAAGAAGATAGCAGTAGTTGCAATACTATTTCTACTACTACTTTCCCTTATTTTAGAAGAAAACAAAACTCTATATAGTAGTTTAAGTTAAAATATTTTAGTAGTAATCCAATTCCAGATTACTTTCTGTATCGGTAATGGAGCTTCTTTTTTTCTTCTGGTTTCTCAGTTAGAATAACGTCTAAAAGGGAAAAATATGATGAGGGTCTTTTTTGGTCTCTTGTTTGTGCTTGTCACTTTGATATCATGAGGAAGAGAAATAAAAAGAAAATCCCGCCAAAAGAATCGGCATTAACTTACTTTGTAATCGGTAATGTGAAGAGCATTGGATGTTTAACGGATGGTTCTTTTGTTTTTGTACAATACCAAGCTTTTTATATTTTCGCCTTTCACTGATTCTGCACAATTAATCTGCATTTTTGAAGCGTTCTTATTTCTCTCCTTGTTTGAGAATTACCAAATACTTCAATCGCTTCAATCGCAAACGGTAAAATTTTCATCAAAATTTTGTTTAATGCGATTTTCACAAGTCAAAATATCACCAGCCGATTTTAAAATTTTATAAATCAAATTCCCATGCGATTTGTTTTATTGTTTTTTATCCTCTAAGAGCCCTTAATAGTCATAACTAAAAGGCAAACTATTTTCGAAGGGAATCAAAATTAAAAGAGAGGGCTAGGAAAGAGGGAAGAAACAGAAGGGCGTATGTGCAAATTAATATGAACTTTTCTCTTTAATCGAAGGCATTGGGTAATTTTTAGGGCAGCATAAAGCATAGAATATGAAATATGATCTTTGCAAGATCAGCATCCCACGAGCTTCTCTTAGTGCCCTTTAGGAAAAGGCAAAATCTGTCCCCTTGAAAAAAAAAAAAAAAAAAAGGAAGAAGAAGAAGAACCCAATTCCATTATTCTGATTTCAAATGGATTAAATCTCCAAAGATTCTGATACTCACAATCTCCAACTCAATATCTTCAAATATACTCTAATCTGTATAATGGTGGAATCTTGTTCCAATAAACATTCTCAACATAATTTGTACAGACATTTGTTATAATTGTCATCCTAAAATTAGCTATTTTTTCAACAAGCAGAGAAGTGTTAGGTATATTGTCGTTTGGAATTGGAAACAGGGTTAACTAAAATTTGAACCTTCAAAGACTAGTTGGTGAAATATTAGACTTAAAAATGAACATAATCCATTCTTGAGCAAAGGAAGTTGTTTTTGAGAAGAAAGAAAATTGTTTTGGGGGTCCCAAGTTTTGAAAAAAATAATTCCATTTCCTTAAATTCTTCTTTTGAAAAAAAAAAAAAAAAAACTATGGTTTCTTGTAGCTTCCTCCAAGCTTACGTAAACGATACCTTATAGTTATAGTCCATGAGTTTAAAAAGAAAAAGAAAAACTATATATATACATATATATATTTCTTAGTGTCAACGGTGTTAATGATCTGTTTACATTTTATGTTACTAAAGTTCCTTGCATACACAAAAAAATGTTGACCTACTTCTTTGCAAAATATCTTATGTACTTTGAACTTGTTTTGTTGGACGGCAAATAGGGCGTTATAGCAAAGAGCCAGAGCTATATTCTCTCCACTATCTTCCAACTACTCTGCAACATTTTTTTTTTTTTGGTAATTAACTACTCTGCAACATTGTCTTGAAAGTTTAAACTAGACATATAGATATACACGTGCTTGTTTGTGTATATGTATATTTGTGAACCTATAAAAAAAATATGTATGCGTGAGAGATACTACAACCTTATTAGTAAAAACATGTATAACGGAACTTTGATGAAAATTTGTTTCTTTAAAATTAATGAAAAAAAAAAAATGAAAGCATTTTTTGTATTCTAATATATAGAATTCTCCTATTCGTATGCTTAAAATGTAAAAGCACTAAAGAAAACTTGAGACTCTTTCAACACAAGAAGAGAAACTTGTAAGACATCTTAATAATTGTTAATTAAATCTTCGCTACTAATTGTGTCATGCAGAAGCGCACGTGTCGTACATGAAGGGGCCGGAAGCCGGTTACGGTTGATTCCTACATTATTATTATATTAATCAAAGCAAAGAGAGCAACTTAGTGTAGCTAATGATAGAGATTAACAAAGATGAGTGCATAAGCAAATTAGTAAAATAAGGCAGAACAAAACCTGCAAGGTAGGTTGTCCCCCTATGCGGACATGGATAGTGATATCATATGCAAGATAGGTTGAAAGTGGGGCCATCAAACCAATGAGAGATCACCAAGTGGACACCGGCTGGACAAAGGGCGGCATATTATATATAAGCAAAGCCCTTGATTATCAATTTGGTTTATGTGCAAATAATCTACTTAAGCTATTTCCAAGTTGCCATTACCATAATAGGAAGTTGAGGAACAAATAATTAAGGAGGGGATAAGAGGGGAAAATTATATGCCGACCAACAGTTTCTTGTGACAATGGTTTAGAATCACCTTGGGCTGTTGGAGTTCTTCACGTCACCTTTTCCCTAATATAATTTCATTTTCATGACAAGGAAAAAAGAAGGATGAGAGATAGAGAATTTGGATTGGGTTGTGGAATGCTGACTTGGGGTACTCAAATTTTTTGTCAATCACGTGGGCAGCCCGTCATGGTAGACCACACATTCATAGCGACAAGGCCAAATATGATCACCTGATTAGGTCAATCACATAAAAGAAACCCTACCTAGCTATCCTTGATACACATATAAGGGCAATATTGGTCATTGTCATGGATGCCCTTTTATTATTTATTTTTTGCTTTCTTTTTTTTTTTTTTTAATTTTTTGACATTTTCAAAAACATGACCTTGCAGACAGGGAATGTATTATCAATTGGTGTAAGTTGACCGCTTCAAAAACCAACTACTTTCATGCTGCTTGTTTGGACAATATTACGGGGTTGCTTAGTATCTCTGCAACAAAGACGTCTCCAAATTTTTTTAACTATATTTTAATAATTTGGTCTGGTACAAATTTAATTAAATACTCAACATTACCACCCAAACGAAATATTGAATGTGGTGGTGGAGCCCTCATTGTGAATGAAGAACCTTTGAGCCAATCTCTCTGTACCAAATAGCACTCTACTTGTCAAACTGGATAGCCCAATTCACACAGTAAAAAACTTACAAAAGGGGATCCAAAGCTTGACAAAACGTCCATAAATACATGACAGAATACCAAAAAACACCCAATCAGTACGGCATATTTGTAAAAGATTAGACTTGCATCAAATTTCTTGTCATAATTTTCTTAATTTGATATGATTTTAATGTAATCTTAAAACCAGTCTAGTGTTTTCATTTTATGCCCCAATAGATGCAGATAATTCTCATTATGACCTTTATTAATGAATTTTGGGAGCAATTGAGTAAATAATGAGTGGGTAGGTGAGCTGCAAGCAAAGCAACAGCTCAGACCTCAACAGATTTTTTAAAAAACTAGAAACAGCTAGTAGTGCAGGAGATATGAATTCTGTGGCCAGTTGAAATTAATGGGTCAAAATGATATTTCAGTGTCGTTTGCCTATACAAGAGGTTACCTCCAACTGCATTGAAGGATTGCAGTGATTAGCTCAGTGACAGATAAGAGCAAGAGTTCTCTTGCTTTTATGCCCTTTTTTTACAACGACATGTACTTTCTGATGGAGTATTTTTATGTCATGATTTTTTTTTTTTTTTTTCCTTTTGGTGGTGGTGGTAGAAAGTGAAACATTTCGACAACTGTACATATAAACATAACATGTCACAATCGTGGATTTATAGCAGCATAAATCCCCATTACAAGACAAAAAGTACATGTTTAGCTGAACACACACATGAATTTTCCTGAGGGTGCACATGTAAAGATCTGCAACAACCAAGGGGTTGCGTAAATAAGTGTGAAACTCCTCAGTGAATGGCCAAATATATCTTTTCTTCTTAGTCCACGACTTTAACAGCGACACGTACACAAATGCGAATATCAAACTAATTTTTATGGACACCTTTACCTATATCGATACATATCCTGGGGAACTTCTATTTTGCCGGGAAAAAATTCCCATCGTCGTGTCAGAAAATAGAATAATTTGTAAATTTTACGTTAAAATTTATACATTTTAAATATTAAAATTACGTGAATTATGATAGATTTGTAAATTTTATATTAAAGTTTATAAATTCAAACAATAAAATTATAAAATTTACCATAAATTTGTGAACCGACAAACACTATAAAAAGACTCATCTTAATAGTGATGCACAATCCAAATCGTCAAATTTTCACCAAATTGGTACATAAAGCTAATAGTTTGAAACTATGCGATAGTACAATTTCTGATTGGCAATTCAAATTATCGTAAGATTTTCATCAAATTCAAATAGAATCTGTATATTCTATATGTTGGTATAAATCTACCAACTCAAAACTATACTAATTGAAGTTTTCTTTTTCACCCTACCACTGACTTTTCAAGTTTTCTTTTGATGTCAAAATCAGTCTTCCACCTATGGGGGGGACTAGGGTGGAATTTTCAACTCTTCTTTCGGTGGTTTTCGTCTTCACATCTCATTCAGTTTTTTTCTGAAAAATCAAGATGGACCACATCATCTCATATGACAAGATTCAGTATTATCTTCCTCGGGAGACTTATGAATAGCAAAGATTCCTCAGGAAAAATCATGAGAATTTTCATCAACCCTTCAAAACCACAAGGGGTCATTTCCCTGGCAATGTCATATAATAGCTGATGTAACTTATAAACTATTTATGGGTCACCAAACCCATTACACAAACAATAATGTAAACGGAACCTCGACATTAAATTTGACATCACTCTTAAGTGGTTCCACTACCAAAAGCCAGCATCTGTTCAATCTCAAAAGGTGTATTGACAATCTGACATGCACCACATACAACCTTAAATTATTTCCCATCAAATATATGATTTCATTTTTCTATGAGCTTTAACTTTAAAATGGAATTTTCTGTTTTTTTTTTTTCCAGAATATTTGCTCAGCCAAATAACCATATTGGTATTTAAAAAAAAAAAAAAAAAAAAATAGTCAGCTCCAAGCTCAAGATACACAAAATCAGCAAAGCAATATTGGAAAATTTGTATTAGTAGTTAAGTTCCAAGAGAGTTGTCCTAACCAGCCATGATTATGATTGGAATTTGTCCAACAACTTCAGGAGCTGCCATACAATGCAATACTGAAAGAATGAATACATAATACTCTTGAGAATTCTACAAACATAAAGATCAAAATTGGGGTTTTTTAATGCCTAACTTAAAGTTTATGCCAAACATCTCAAAATAAGGGGGGGAAAGGCATTTTGCAGGGGATGATCACCAAAACTACTACTTCCAAGCTTCACCAAGTGCGCTTAGTCATTCCTTGACTACTCCTTTCGTCTTTTCACCAACTTCAGCGGCAGTTTTTGAAGGAGGTTGTTCAGAACACGCTTTCAGGACAGCCTCATTCTGCAACAAAAAGTGTACAGTATTGGAACGTATGACACAGTCTTCAAATTTAATTTCAAAGAATATAACAGCAACTATTCTCCAGAAGTACGTTGACACTTGACACATAAAAACTTGTATTGATACATCTGAATAAGTGCTTATGCAAAGCCTGCAAGCAGACCAGCATGTCAGAAAATTACACAAGAAACCTCATTATGCAAAATCTGTGGATTAATCTGATACATTGAGAACTTAAATATCTAAGGCGTTGTTCATTTTACCTATTTAAATTTTTAATTCTAATTTTTAAAAACTCTAAAAAAAAAAATCACATTTAATTTTTTTTATTACAGTTAAAAACTCTCACATAAAGGCTTAGAACTTAAGTTGAAAGGGGAACTTAACCTTGGATTTTAGCTTCAGACTGAAGTTAAAACTCAAGTTAAAACTCAAATTTTACAAAAGAACGTGAACTTGAATAAAGTTATAACTTGAGTTCAAACTTTTTTTGAGTTTGAGTGCAAATGAACAAGCTAAGGGACCATTTAATTCGTTAATTCGAGTTGAGATGTAATTTTATGTGAGAGCTTTTTACTGTAGTAAAAAAGTTAAATGTGACTGTTTCTGAGAGCATTTTACTGTAGCAAAACTCAAATTTTAAACCCAAATCGGTAAAATGAACAAAGCCTTAGTTTGGAAGTGCTGTAGATTTTGAAAAAATTACTTTTAACTGTACTAAAGAAAGAAGCAGCTGAGTATTTAGTAAACTATAATTATAGTAGCTATGCTAGTTCCAAAATCAGTGTAATATAGCGTTTGGTAAATTATGAGATTAAATTGTTGTTAATAGTTAAAAATTACGACTATTATATTATACTATAATATAATACATACAATTAATATATATTTATTATTATATTTAATATAATACAAAAAACCTATTATTATATAATTATGATATAGAATATATAAATATTATTAAAATAATAACTAAAATAATTAAAAATAACTATTATATTATATTATATTATAATATATATAATTACAATATAATGTATATTTATTATTATATTTAATATAATACAATAAAACTATTATTAAATAACATATTATATAATTATGATATAAAATATAATAATATTATTAAAATGGTTAATATAATTACAAT